CCACCTCTCTCTCAAAAAATAAAGAAAGAAAAAGAAAAAGAAAAAAAGGACCACGGGAGACAATTTTGCTCAGGATCTCCAAGTTTTGAGTGTTAAGACATGGAGATATTACTCGAAGAATCTTTGTATACAGTTCTACCCTTCAATCCCACAAACTATCCTGGATATAGTTGGATAAATAAGTGTTATCAAATTCTCCCAGTGAGTGTTAATTATTCCCCAACACTGTATTTTTATGTTATTCTTGACACAAAACTTCTAGAAAACAAGATTCTTTTTTTTAAAAAATTTTTTTAACGTTTATTTATTTCTGAGACAGAGAGAGACAGAGCATGAGTGGGGGAGGGGCAGAGAGAGAGGGGGACACAGAATCTGAAGCAGGCTCCAGGCTCTGAGCCGTCAGCACAGAGCCCGACGTGGGGCTTGAACTCACAGACTGCGAGATCATGACCTGAGCCGAAGTCGGAGGCTTAACCGACTGAGCCACCCAGGTGCCCCGAAAACAAGATTCTTAATTCCGTTTTATTTGCCCTGTCCTTTTGAACTCATGGTACACTAGCATGTTCAGTGTCACTTAAAACCCAATGTTTCTCAAGAAAATCACAAATGAAAATAGAATTAGCCCTATCCCAATCAATTGTGAAGGAACCATTAGTTACAGCTGATTGCTGAATTCGCTGAATTGGGACTTAGACCATATTGTAATACACCCCATTAGAATATTTACCTCTTAAAGTATTACCAAAGTATTTAAAGCCAACCTAAGCCACATAATGAATATTTATCTTACTTACTTAGACGTCTGAGCTTTAAAATCGTAAACAGCTTTTGCAGGCAATTTCTGAAAGGGAAAGTAAACAGTTAGAGCTAACTTAAAATTTGGATTTTTTTTTTTTTACAAGAAGCAATTTCATGTGAATTAAAGGGAAATGGAATCACGAGGAGTGAGTAAACATATATAATGTAAACCCTCTATGCAATTCATGAGTCAACCAATTAGTTCTTCACTTAGGTATTTAAGCTATAACAGGAGTGTAATAGATGGCTTGCTCACCGTAATTACTGAATATCATATTTCCTCTTAGAAACTAAGGTAGATGGGGGCACCTGGGTGGCTCAGTCGGTTAAGCAGCTGACTTCAGCTCAGGTCATGATCTTACAGCTCGTGAGTTTGAGCCCCCCATCGGGCTCTGTGCTGACAGCTCGGAACCTGGAGCCTGCTTTGGATTCTGTGACTCCGTCTCTCTCTTCCCCTACCTGGCTTGTGCTCTGTCTCTGTCTCTGTCTCTGTCTCTGTCTCTCTCTCTCTCAAAAATAAATAAACATTAAAAAAATTAAAAAAAAAGAAACTAAGGTAGATGAACACTGCAGTACAATTCCAGAGGGATCTGTCCCAGGTATAATTCTGGCTTTTCCAGGGTCAGTTGCCCTGTGTCTTATGTGTTAACACAACTCCTTTGGAATCATAATAAAAAGACTGGAAAAAGTCACGAAGGAAGCCATTATCCCTTTTACTAACACTTATTAACATAGTAGCAAAGAAATATTAGCCCAATTCTCATTGGGAAGCGAGTGTGTGGCCCAAAGTATAGGCTTGGTCATCTTGCATTCCCTGGAGGGTTCAGGAATTCTTTATTGACACGGTAAATCAGCCGTTCATCTTCTAGTCGTGATAAGATGTGACACACACTCACCTTCAATCACCCTGCACACCCTAGCTAGCTGATGCAGCTCTGCCTTTTCTACTTCTCAGTTATCTCCTCACCCCACTCTCTTTCCTTGGGATTCCATGAACGTTAGGCAACCTGGGACATTCCTGACTTCTTTGGGGGTCCCACGGGTACTGGGCTGCAGGAGACACCTGTAGGGATTCTCCTGGAGCGGCTGCCAGTCCCAGGCCAGCTTCAGTTGCTGTCAAACCTTCACGGCTCCAAGATGGCGTGAACCTGAGCTCCAGCCCTGGCTCGGGACCATGCACAAAGCTAGCTGGTACCTGGTTCCTAGGAGCAGTGATTTTCCAAGTGATTTTCCAACAAAAGCAGGCCAGGCAAAAATTAGGTCGAATTTGTATTGATTTGCGACACAGATGACCTAGAGCTCCCCTCTACATCAGGGGCGAAATTTGTACTGGGAAATCTCCTTCCTCTATGGGGCAGCCCAGCTCAACACTCTCGCAGAGCACGGTTGTTAATTCACGGGTGTCAGGTCAAGACTCGGCGGGGCCTCGCTGCCGGAACCGGACCGCGGTTGGGGGACATCTACAGCTAGGGTCGGGGTGCGTGCTGCCTTGAGTCCTTTGCTCAACCTCCAGGGAAGGTGTTTCTAGTTTCTCTCTCGTCATTTTTATGTTCTTGATCTGGGCTCTTTACTGGTTTTGGAAAAAACTCTGGCTGGCAAGTGCTTTATCAAATACGTTGCAGAAAAAAAGACTCCAGTGCTATTGAACAAACTACCTCTTTTTCTGGAGTTCCTCTTCTTTCCCTCGGTGCACTTCTCCCCAGGTCAGTCATAGTGGATGAGTAACTTCTAGGGGACTCATGGTCTGTGGGAAAGGACAGGGTCAGAGTGAGTGTTCACATAATTAAAAGCCGACCATTTTTAGCCATGGTCCCTGGTGGCAACTGTTTTCTCCTTCGGATTTAGAGACATAGCACAATGGAAGACGTGGGTATAAGATTCATAGGTAAACGATAAAGTTGTGATGGAAGACACAAAACCAGAGCATCGCAAAAGGGAAAAATATCTGAGGTTGCAGAAGTGTTCTAATCCCAAATGTAACTGTTACATTGCTGATGTAATTATGCTGCAGCACCTGGTATATACAATTCATACTCGCGGGGTGATGGCGGGGGGGATTTCTCACCTCAGAGATTTAATACTTTCTATTCCTTTTGCCTCCAATTTGTAATTATTTTTCAGGGCAGGGGGAGCCTGGGTGGCTCAGTCGGGTGAGCGTCCAACTCTTGATCTCAGCTCAGGTCATGATCTCACGGTTTGTGAGTTTGAGACCCAAGTTGGGCTCTGGACTGACAGCATGGAGACTGTTTGGGATTCTCTCTCTCTCTCTCTCTCTCTCTCTCTCTCTCTGCCTCTTCACCACTCATGCGTACACACACTCTCTCTCTTACTGAAAATCGATAAACTTATAATGACGTTTATAGGGCCTATAGAAGATGGAGAATTTGAACATAGCAACAATTAACAAAAACTAAGACATCTCATGGAACAATTTAAGAATGTAGTAATGAAAAAGAAAAATAAAGCATGATGGTGGCAGAACTATGGTTGTGTCCATTCCCCATGCCCCATCCCTACACACTCTGTCCCCCTATCCCCCCACCCCATTGTTACACAGTTGTTGAGTTTTAAGATGTCATCCTAAGGCTTAAAAGGCCTTTATCTTTTGCCTTCCCTTTTGTTCAACTGCCTTATCAGAAAGTATATATTTATTCCAAGAAGCAAAGGGATAAAAATTCTCTAAACAGGAAGTATCCTATTGATTGCTACGCTGCTTATGAAATACTGAATTGTTTTTGTTCATCTGAAAGCACAGTATAAATAATTACATTCCCAAATTATGATTATAAGTATCTCTTAATGGTTTCTTATACTTTACACATTTGTATGTGGAAATGTAGCTAGAGTCTAAGAATATCTCAGTAGTCTCTGTTATAGAATTTTACCAGTATAACTGGGTCAAAATTAGTAAATTCTTTCTCTTATCCCTTTAACAGATTTAGTTATATTGATTAGCAAGAAGCATTAAAAATAAAATAAATCCAGTCACAAAGGAATTAAAAATGCTAACTCATAAAAAGAAAACATTGCTTAAAGATCGTGACTACTTTGACTATAAGACAGAATTGTCTATTTAACAGCAGGTGGACACCAGTTACATGACATAGAAGGACAAATGTCTAACTGTCGGTTGTGAATTCCAAAGTCTTTAGATTTAGTAAGGTAACATGGCCACAAATATCTCAGGTTAAACTTACTCAGTTATTTTCAAGCATGAGAGAGATTCTGTGCCATATATTTTCTGTTTCTAAAATGGAAATACTTTTATGAAAGCTTTCATGCTGATCATTAAGTTGTGAATCATAATCCATGGCATATAAACTATTTTTCAATTGGGCTAAACAAAATTGGAAAGTGGGCATGTTATCAAAAGACAAATACCCTTCAAATGCCTTTCAAAGCCCTCTCAGATCAAGTTTCAGTAAGGTACTCTATCCGTACATAACATTTAGAGGTGATTATTATCGTTGATACACTTACTTGAATAGCTGGAATTATCCAATATTGAAAAACTGGAAAAGGTAGCGGACTTATTATAAACTTAAATTGTGACGTCTCAATCAGTGAAAATGTCAAATTGTAGGCACTGTTTTAAAAAATTCTAACTTGTTGTTTTGGAAGCGTGTTGTATGGTATAAATGAAAGCAAAGATAAATACTAATAAAGCAAATTTGTGCAGTGGCCGCTAACAATTGAGTCACCTATATAGTACATTAATATGAAATTTGCATTGTCTTTTTTTTTAACCTATAGAGATTATATTCTATACTACAAATACTGAATTATTAGGAGTTTGCATCTCTTTTCTCTTACCTACTCCCTAACTGACTTTGGTCAAATCTCTTGTCTCCCCTGGGTCTCACTGCTTATAATGATACCTATCACCTAGGTTGGTGCCAGTGCTAATTAGATAGTGTGTGTAGAGCGCTTTGCAATGCCCAGTGCATAGCAGACTGTTGACAATCCAAATTCCAGCAGGGAATGTTCTTTCCAGCTTCTGAAAACTTACATAGTGAACAGATGTCTGTTAAGAATTAAAAAAAGAGAGAGAGAGAGAGAATTGTATACAACTTGTATAAAAAAATATCAGAACCCCTAACAAACCTCAGAAAAAGTCCTCTGCCTTTGAACTGTTATTTGTCCGCATGTTGCCACTCCAAGGTGATAATCCATCTATGAAAATGGAGTTGAGGGTCACTTTTAACCTAAATGGCCTAATTCAAATGTCGATATAAGATTGTTTCAGCGGAAACAGAAAATAAGGTAATGGAAAGGAAAAGAAAATGAATACACCGAATGATGGAAATGAGACTTCTGTCTATACAGCTTAAAGATGTATTCCCAAAAATTTTATCCCATGTGCCCTTTAAAGGTTGTTCAGGGGCGCCTGGGTGGCACAGTCGGTTGAGCGTCCGACTTCAGCCAGGTCACGATCTCGCGGTCCGTGAGTTCGAGCCCCGCGTCAGGCTCTGGGCTGATGGCTCAGAGCCTGGAGCCTGTTTCCGATTCTGTGTCTCCCTCTCTCTCTGGCCCTCCCCCGTTCATGCTCTGTCTCTCTCTGTCCCAAAAATAAATAAATGTTGAAAAAAAAATTTTTAAAGGTTGTTCAACAAGTCCTATTCTCTTTTCATTGTCCATCAATTACTATACTGACTAGTTCAGTTTTTCTTCCTGGGTGTTTGGATGTAGTATCTCGATGTTGAATGTAAGGAAATTATTTATTGAGTGAGTGACTATAAAGTTAATATTAATAACCAAGTAAAAGCTGTTTGTTAGATTATTGGTTTTGATTCATTTTACGACAAAACAAGAGTCATCAGTCTCTTAAGGATACTGATACTCAATCGCGGTTTCCCTGATGGGATCCTTTTAAATTGATAAAATAAGTTTAACTGGTTGTTTCGACATATGTTGTTTCAACCCTAGCATGAAGCTACAAGATGGTTTTCCCTTTCGATTTTGAATGAATAAATTTTTGTGAACTGGTGATCACTTTAAGCCACACGTCAAGTCCGATTATCACATGGGCAAATGAGACTATTCAGGAAGACATGTTTGCACAACAAGCATTTGCTTCAAAAACACATAACGATGCTGAGTGGTCTCACAGCTTAGGAATGATGAGATGTAGGAATGGAAAATGAAAGAGCTGGATGGTGGGTGTCTGAACCACAGGGACAGAGAAAGAAAAGCTCATCCACCTTGGAGACTCCGTGCACTCTCATGGTCTTGGTGGTGGTAGTTGTTGGTGGTGGTGTCCACGTCTGGGAAAGAGGCACTGTGAGGCATTCTCCCACAATCGTTCTGGTACAATGGACAATGAATAGCACCATCTTGAGGCAGTGGGTGGAAGGGCTGGTGCACGGGGCTCCTTTTTAGAGCTTTAAGTGATGAGTTCCTCTCCGGAATATCTGGCAACAGTTCACTGATAAGACGGTGCAATACACTGTTGTCTGGCAAGCTTCTGCTTCTCTCTTCAGCTTTAATTTGGTCACAGATGTCTTTAAGGGCAGAGTCCAGAGCCTCAAACACAGACGCTTTACATTTTGCCTTTTCAGCCTGTTTTTTGGGAGTCGAGTTCTTTTTCCTCCGGAAAGGCACGGGACTGACTAGAAACGCAAGTTTAGAAAGGCCGGGGTCCGTTTCCTGTCTTCTGGGCTCCTCGGCATTTTCGTGTTTAGCTCTTTCATGTTTCAGCATTGTGGTAAATCGGGTGTAGGAGGCAGGGCATCTGCCTTTGCAGGAGCTGATGAGGTGCCGGTGGTGGTGGTGGTGATGGTGGTGGTGATGGTGGCTGGATCCATAAAAGCTCTCAGAGGATGTGAAAGAAAAGTGATCAAAGTCACTCTCGCTGCAAAAGGACGACCCTTCCACGTGGATGTAATCACTGTGGTCAGACACAACTCCTTCTTGGTCACTGTCGGAAAACTCCAAATGAGTTCTCGGTTGCTCGTCACTGGTGACTTCGATGTGAATCGGCACCAGGGTTTTGGGCTCGTAGCTGCGTTGTACGTGAGAAGGGTGTCTACTCTGACTTTCTTCCTCCAGCAGAGACTCGATGGAAAACCGCCTTTTGGGACATAAACCGTTTTGTTGGGGTTCTAGGGTTATAGGAGAGAACATATCATCTCCTAAATTTGGCATGGATTTTGACTTTTGAATCAACTTCTCAAATTCAGAAATGCGAGTGGGGACCATGTCCCTGGGTACCTCCTCAGTGGAGGACTGACTCCAGCCATGGAGCAGGCCCTTGTGTTGCTGTTCGTTTTCATACTGCAGGATTCTCGACTTTACCGAGCAAATCACCTCTGAGTTCATCAAATCCTTGCGATTGATGCGGTGCATTTTCTTGTACATTTTTAGGAACCCTGGGGCGTCATGGGCTGACCTGTGTCGGAGCCTCGATCGGCCGTTACCACGGCCCTCCTGGATGTAGGGGGAAGCCCAGGCCCCAGGGCAGCTCTCCTTGGACTCCTCTTCACATAGCAGAGAGCCCATACTTTCTGACTTGGCTTTTGGGTCAGGGAAGCTGTCACAGTCACCATTTAGGAGATCATCACAACTACGGGATTTGATTTTGGGGGAGACTGTCTCTTCAGTGCTGCTCCAGACCTCTGCATTTTGCCGGGCCATTTGCCAGCCGTTCTTGAACGTGATGGCCCTCTGTGAGTCACGAGGGACATCCAAATGCTGTCTCTTGTAAGCGTTACAGTAATCTAACTCATTGGAGGGGTTGCCGTTGAGCCCTGAGTAACTGTAAAGGGAGGGACACATATCATCCCCACCTTTTAATCCAGGCCAGCGTGGTGGAAGAGAGACATGTGGAGAAGTTAAAAGGTTCACAAAGAGGAAGCATGTCAGTTAGCATCAGATAGCATAGCAAAGGGAAAGCAGTTAGCATGGTTTAGTCTAGACACGGATTGTTACACATGTAGCTTCAACTTTAGAGGAAGAAAATCCTAATTCTAAGGCAGGGTAATACTTTTTCAATGAATGTAGCTTCGCAGATATTAGAGTTAACAAAACCACATATAAAAAGTAATTAGTGTAGTTTCGATACCTATTTGTATTGTGTTCATACATCTTTCTGCAAACGAGGTATGCCCAAACCACAGAAGTACCTCGGAAGCTAAGAGCCTGACCCGGTGTAATTTAAAGGTTTACCAATTAAGGCCAAAAGTGGTAGAGGTTTAATCAACTGAATAGGGTCAGGATTTGAGTCTCATTTGATTTATAATGGTAGAGAGGTAAAGAGTAATTTATAAATTTGCATTTAGTTACTACTTCCGTAACTGTATTAAGTAACTTTTCGTGGGCGTTAGATAGAAAAAGCAACAAGACAAAGCATTTTCCAAACTTGTAAAATCAAGATGCTTTGAAATACTGCTGTTAATATTTCTCCAAGACACACGGTACAACCTCTTTAAACATACAAATTTACCTCATTGATTCCTCATTCATTGCCTCATTCTATGAGGCAGATTCTCTTAAGAATAACTGGATATAGTATAAAATTCTCATCAGAGGTTAATGCATCTTAGTTTTTTCCAAGGAGGTTGTTTTCTTTTAAAAAATAATTTGCAATTTGATAATAGCTAAAACTGACCTCAGTTTAGAATATGTTTAGAAATATTCTTTTCTTTTGCTCTGCTGTGTTAACTCATAAACGAGAGGCCAAATTAACATCCAATGGGACATTTTCATCTTAGAAGGAAACCTGATGAAGGAAAATCTCTCTCTTGATAGTTCCTGTCTTACAACCTTATCCAAACTTTGCAAAAGTAGATAAGCACATCAAGCAGATATGTAATGTTTGGGAAAGGAAGTTGAGTCAACACTCCCTAGGGTAAAAACGAATATATAAATTAATCAGAATCCTTTTAATTTTTGGGTGCTATCCAAGCATAATGAATCAATGGTATTTCATGACCTATTTACTATCTTAAAATATTCATTTGCATAAATGAGTGGAATCTGATAAATGTATGTCTGTTAATTGGATGAAAGGTATCGTAAAAGGGGCTCACTCATTCTGAACCTTCCAGGGAGTAGGCCCACTTTTACTAGGCCATGGAAGACGGCCAGTGACTCCCACCTATCCAGAGTCCAGGCATCCAAACCAGCCTGTCTTTTGCACACAAACCAGCTACCACTTAGCTTTGATTGCCACATGGCCACGCTTTTCGTGCTTATGTTTGATACGTGTGGCCGAATCTGTGCTATTTAGGGGAAACTTCTGTTAGAGTGCAAGTTCTTTACACATTTCAAATTCCTTTTGTGTTCTGTTTCAATGCCAGGCGATTGGGGAAGATTTCAGGGCCCCAAATTAGGTATGGCCTTAGGTACCTGTAGATGCTGGTTTAATCCTCAGTCTCCATCTTGGGAATATTCCTGTTACCACAGCAATAATGCACTAACCAGTCTTCCAGAGACCTGAAGGAGACTTGCCCTCTCTCAACACAGCTCACTGAACTTCCAGAGAGGAGAGAGAGGCCATATGGAGAAATGGCTTGGTGAATCTAAATTTTCCAAGTATGGCTTGAAACCAGTTGGTTCTTATTAGTGGACTGTTCTGAATCAAACACCATGTTACACGCGTAACATGGATATTCTACTGTCTATGTGAATGTTGGCCAAAGTATAGAACAGATGACGAAAGAATAAACTTCCGTAAGTCAGACAAAATTTTATCTCGAATTAAATAATTAAAAAAATCAAAGTACGTTTTAGGCAACAATGTTCTTTGTTGCTACTTCTAATTCCTACTCTATAGATGTGATTAACTTTGCTAGTTGTAGTAACTTTAGACCATTTTTTAAAAATACGCAAATATTTATAAATGTAATCTTTTAATGGCCTGACAATAAATTAGGTACTCTGAATGTGTTCAAAAAAAACCACAAATGATACATTTGGAGGAAAAAAGCATTGAATATGCTAGATGATAGAGTCCTTTAAGCCACTCACATAGCTCACCAAACTGACCTAGTCTGTGTAAAAAGAAAGCTATTGTTATGAAACTGGATTGTATTCAAGACACTGTATTTAAACGCTAACTATCTCTGCACGGTTAATCTTGCCCAGCTGTCACAGGTAGCCTAGGTTAAAACTAAGCTAGTAAATTGCTTACCCATCAATCTAATAATTGCTCACCTTTTGCTCTTGATGGGGAAGAAGGGGAGGAACTTATGAAGGACTGAGTCAGGGTGGCGCTTGACCCTGGGAGGTCCGCTCGGCCTGGGCTGGTCCTGCGTGCACCGTGATCCAGGCCCCTCGGCTGCCCCACCGCAGGCTCGCTCTTCCTCCTTTTCCTGAAGTCACTGGCCATGCTCGTGGCACTGAAAGAAGAGATCAGCTTCAGTCAGGCTGCTGTTAGAGGAGGCTAGTATGTCAACCAGAAAGACTGATGGAATGTGCTAGTGACAGTGGTATAACTCTTACCTCTGTTCCCCCGAACTGCAGTTTTCAGAATTCATTCCTTGCTATTAAACGCTATTTCTTTATCCTCTCTTTAAAAATATTCATAGACTGTATTTTATTATTTTTTTATTAATTTTTTTAATGTTTATTATTTATTTTTGAGAGGTAGAGTGCAAGCGGGGGAGGGGCAGAGAGAGACGGGGGGCGGGGGGAGACACAGAATCCGAGGCAGGCTCCAGGCTCTGAGCCATCTGCGCAGAGCCCCATGCGGGGCTTGAACCCACAGACCTCGAGATCATGACCTGAGCCAAGTTGGACGCTTAACCGACTGAGCCACCCAGGTGCCCCTGAGACTGTATTTTTTTTTAAAAGAGAAGTTTCCATTATATGGATGCACTAGTTCGTTTATCCATTCACCTACTGAAGGGCATCTTGGTTGCTTTCAAGTTTTAGTAGTATGAATGAAGCTGCTATAAACATCCATGCGCAGTTTTTTGTGCAGACATAAGTTCATGATCACATTTTAAAGTACAGATCCTCCTATTGGTGTTGTACGTTGTGACTGACAATTCAGTGGTAGGATTTGTGTCATGTATCTTTTCTCTGTAAAGAGGAGTTCCAACAACATGACTATATCCGGGGAAGCGTGCCGACATGAAAGAAAGGACTGGAAAAAAGGAAGTCACCTGATGAGACAAATTTCTCTTACCCCAAGGTTTCCCTACGGCTTTTCCTACCAATCTTAGCTTGAAAACACTTACGCTGAAATTCTAACATTTTCCCAGTGAAGTAATGAATGAATCACGATCTGACCAGCAATCAAACCGTTTAAGGGGACTTTCATCTGGTTGTATGAAATGGTGTAAACTGTCTATAATGGCAGGACATTTTTATCACGGTCTCGGTCTGAATATAGGATCACTCAGGACAAACGCTAGTGAACAAGGATACACATCACGCGGCATGCTGTCTGTCCGATCATCACACAAAATTACATCAGCAACAGCAGGAACGGCAACACCAGCTCCCACGAGGCAGCAATACACACAATTGCTTTGCTGCCGTTACTGTCTGCACAGCCCACACGCAAACCTGCGAGGTGTGCACGTTACCACTATTGCGTAAATGAGTCGATGCGACACACACTTTGCAAGCATAGAGTTGGAGCTGGGCCTCAGAATTTGTCTTTGTTCTTCTGAAGAGGATAGCCGTCTTTTCCTAGACCTGTTTTTGCCGTCACTGTCCTGTCACATGAGGGTCTGTGCACAGTCTTAATAGCAATCTTAGGTCAGATGAGAACTCTGAAACTCAAATACTTTAGGAGTGTCTATAGATGTAAAAGATATGAGAGGAATTTGAGGAGCCTTTTACTTAGTGACATTGATGTCACTGAATGGCCCCCATGAACCCAATTTACAAAGGACCCAATTTACAAAGTTTTTGACTTACGCTGAGAGAAATCTGTAGAAGGGCAAATTTATATTTCTTGTTGGTGATACAATATGGCTGAGAGTTTGTATTATTCACTCTTGCTAGTGAGCTGTGTCTGAATTTCGGTAATGCTTTCAAGTTAAGTGATATTTAAAGCCTATCAGCAGGACTTAACCTTGGTGAATTCGTGGGACAGTTAGGGGTAGTTCCAAGTTATTCTGGCTCAGTTCTAGTTTGTCTCTGCTCCTTGCTAGCTATGTAAACTTGGTAAGTAATAAAGCCTAAGTTTAGTGCGTTCAGACCTAAGGTGGGGAGAATAGTACTTGACTCACCGTGGTGTCTTAAGGATTGAATATGTTTATGTACTTAGAATGTGTGGTATATAGTAAGCCATTCTTTATTGGTAGCAACAGTGTTTTTGATTTGTGCAGTCAGAGTATAATGAACAAATATGTATAGAACATAATTTAGAAACTTTCTAATAATTTACACATTTTTTTCAAATATGCCATCGTAAGTATCATCTAATAATATTGAAAATTAGATGTTTATAGTTCCCGTTTAAAGAAAAGAAAACTGGATAGAGAGGAGATAGGGAAGGGAAGAATTTCTTGGTAGAGGAACCCAGAATTATTTCACTTAGTTTTTATAAATTTTTGAATATGCTGATATACAGTGATGCAAAAACACAATAAAACAACTTCATAAAGTATGGTGCTTAGAATAATAATGACAGATAACGTAATCTTCATTATTATTTCACTGAACAGTATTCCTATTAAAAAAGAAACCACTGGTATAGAATATTCTGGTTGCATAATGTAGTGACATTCTTACCTAGTGGGTCTTTCTAGGCTTCTGTCTATTGAGGATTGATACAAGGAGGCCTGTTAAGATAGAAAAATAGTTCCATGAAAATTTTTACCAAGGTAAAATTTCATTTGTCCGTGGACATTAAATTAGGTATCCTAAAATGAATATTATAAAAATTGAGATAAAAATACCATGTATTTTGATCATAAAATGTCTTTCAAAGAGAAATCATGTAACTCGATTTCTACTTTCTTCCTATCTACTTTCTCTTTTGATATAATGTGCTGTATTTCTCTTTGTAACTCAAATTATTCACAAACCAAACATTGCCTGGGGCAAAAAAAAAGTTGTTAATTGCTCCTTCTTGCAGGAAATAGACTGTAAGTAGGAATCTTCTACATTAAGGGATGGTTTGTTTAAAAAAAAAATTTGTAGGCATCATTCGACCCTTATACAACATAAACCTTCTTTATAAATTTTTTTGTCATGTTGCCAGGCGTTACCTTCAAAGTATAACATCTGAGCAGAACTGAGACATCTTTCCTCTGTCAACACAGACATGGCATTTTAATAATACCACCGAATTTGGTTTGAAATTAAACTAAACTATCTGGTACTTAAATCAGGTACAGACTGACATCTTTCAAATTAGTTAAGTTCAGGGTTAGTTTAAACAAATGATTAATGAACCCAAATATAACCTTTTTATAAACAGAAGTGGTCTTTTAACATTCCCATGAGAAAACCAATTCTCCGTTGTCCATGGTTGTAGGAACAAAGGAAAATAGATAATGCAAAGTGACACATAATTCCAAATACCTGTTGTGCACACCATTTTCATACCCCTTCATTCTGAACAGGACAAGGAAACAGATATTAGGCAAAATTATTAGATAGGAAGTTTTTACTCCCCATGGCCATCTCCTAGAATAATTACTGAAGTACCTAAAAGGCAAGAGAGGATCTGTTTTGAGCTCTTGAACATTTGAAATGACACTGCAGAATGAGCGAAAGTGGTTATGGTGCGACGTCTAGAATGTATATAGGAAAATGTATACATGTATATATGTGTAAGACTGTATATGTGTTCGGGCCACATTTGATCCATTATTTATCACAAACATTGGTCTGATGAAGAGCTGAAATTCTAGTTTAAAAATGGCCTTCCGTATGAAAGTTTAAAAACGTCAACCAAAAAGGCAGGATTTGACAGATTTTATTTAAGTGCCTATCACACAGAAATATTTAACCAGAGTGTTAAAAACCTGCTTAAGTGGAAACTAAACCACACTTTAAAACCTATTTCTATAACTTTATTTTCTACTTGCAAATCGGCACCAATTAACCAATTAAAATATTAGTATGTAATTTTGAGATTCTTTATGTAGATCAGTCTGACAAGCCCTCTTATGCATAATTCTAAAGGTGGTTCTGTTAATTAATATTTTCATTTAATTTCTTCTTACCGAATGCGAATGGAATCTTGCCCAGAAACAAACAAAAGCACCTTTCTGCAAGAGACTATCGCCCCTCCTTTGAGACAGAAAAGACACAGTCTAATGTTTTTAATTCCTAGAAAATATTTGGATTCCTAGGTTCTCGACAAATATAAAATTAGAAGAAAGAAATTTGGTCCACTGTCTGATAAATGTACATAATTACTTAACTTGGCAAAGTCTGAATCGTACACTGGAAAAGTGAAAAAAATAAACACTAAATAAGAGGAAAACAAAGAAGGAAATGAATAAAATATTCTGATTTAGAAACATTAACTCCACAAGTCTGCAGAAGAGCAACATCAAATAGCCTCAGAGTATTGCCATCTGTGTAGAGCACAGCATTCACGGAAATGACAAACCACAGTTGATTATCAAAAAGTGTCAATTTCAGAACATCCCTAGAGTGACCAGAGATTTTGAATTGCCAGCTTGGGATGAGCCTAAACAAAACTGTAACATGAGAGAAAACATAGTGTAAGAAGTGAACGCTCTATACTGATAAATTTATTGTGTTTTAGACTTAGGCAAAGAAATGACAATGATTCCTCCTTGTGCTGGTTTCCATAATCCGAAAGCAACTGAAACCAGTTTTATTTATAGTCAAAGGAAGACATTCGATATTAAATTACAAGGAAACAGGAGGAGGTCTAGATAGATGACCAAGGGAAAAACTTGAATGATAATTATATAAATGACACTCATTCTGAAATGGAGATTGTGTCCAGAAAAGGGGTTAGCTATTTTACCTATTATGATCTACTATTTACATATTACCATTATTTTAACATACCTAAATTAAGTTCATTTTGATAAAGTATGGACATTGAATCACTCTTTCTGCTAAGTGATCGTGTGATTTAACTTTGCTTAGAAGTCCTTAATGGTTCGTCATTAATGCCAGTTTCTCAGTTGTATTGATTAAAAAGTTTGTTATTCATGGCATATGCTAGGCACTTGATAAATGGTAGCCAGGGTGATATGTAATCAATTACAAATTTTACCAGAAATGTTTTACATAAAGATATTAAAGATAATATCTAGTACCTTAGCAGAGTGTTTGTTTACACTCTGAAAAACCATGATGTGAGAGTAATATGCTACAGAATCGTACAATACTCCTTCTCAATTCCAAAGAAATAATGGCAAATCAGTTAAATCATCAGCAAAGTGCTTTTTTTATGTGATTTTTTTTTTTTTTGGCTACTACCATAGCATGTAGAATGTATAAAATTTCTACAATTTTTAGCCCAAGTTATTGTGTAATGTTAATTATAGAACTCATTTTACAAAAATAGTTGACAAGGAATAGTATTTAGTAAATAACTTGTTTCTGGAAGATTTGAACTCCAAATACATCTCTTGGATGTGCTAAGAAGTGTGGTATAGAGGAAACCTCATGGAAGTGGAGGTTAAGAGATCTATGTTTTATTTTTAACTTGCCACCTTCTTACCTTGTGATATTGGACATATATGTTTTTAATTTTGGGGCTCTACTTTTCTTGACTTAAAAATGAGTGAGTTGGACTTGGTGATCTCTGAATTTTATTTCACTTCTCTAAGAACCAACCACCTTAAAATCATCCTAGAACTATCTGACCAAAATAGCAGAAAAAATATCTGACCAAATTGAATTCCAAAGTAAATTGTTGGGTATTTTCTTCTGAGACTGTGCCTGCAATTCCAGTTGTCACCACTGTGTGTCAGTAGTACTTCCTGAAGCATGGGTATCTTAGTAGTTTTATTTTCTAGTTGCACATTTTTTTTTTTTTACCAAGTTAAGACTTATTGATGAAAGTAAGGTATTTATTAAGTGTCTTTGTATATATTTAGGACCACAGAAAATCTGTGTAAAACCAGTTTACGCACTTTGCTCCCATTCCAGCTACTTCTAAGAATTCCCACACAGAGGCTTTTATATAGCTGATGTTTAGCAAAACTGTCACTTTTGCTTATGTCAACCAGTAAGTCTTAAATATGCTTTCCAAAATAATTTCAATTTTCTTTGCAGAGAGCAGGATAAAATCCTTTGACTCTGGAATGTTTCTTCCTTTTTCATACTCTCTGTGACTATATCAAATAAAATTTGACATTGCCTGGAATTTTTTTTTTTTTTTTTTTTTTTTTTTTTTTTTTTTTTTTTTTTGCCTAGCAGATTGTCATGAGTGATGGCAAATGCATTTCATCTCATATGCCAGTCATAATCTATTATAGTGGCAGCCTGGATTATAGCATTGAGAAGGATTAGTAATGCCTGTCAAGGGTGTTGAACTGGGAAATCGTGACATGTGTCCCAGTTGTTTGTCAGCCCCATTCTTGATTTTATCTGATGCTAAAATCCACAAATTGTATGTAGGAAAATGAAAGAATTAAAATAAATTTTAAGAATATGTGGGGCATCAACATGTAATTAAGAATCTAAACTGTCATTCTGCACCTCCAAGCACGACGATAAAATGACTCTGCCTAGTATTTTGTGCAATCTGATCAAAACAGGTGGTTGATATATGCGCTCAGAGTGCTACTTTTGATTTTTTAATGATCACACTCCAGGACTATGTTGAACAGTTCCACTGAAAGCTATGGCTGGCATGATTCTTCACCTACATTGCAGAAAGAGCCAACAACTTTGGTATAATTAATGTCCAAGCAATGATACTGTATACAACACAACGGTGCAACGGTGGGTTCTCCAAAATAGCTTAGACCCTATGGTCAACTGTTAAAACGCGGATGGTTCAGAATCACAGTAATGGCTCCTAAGAGAGAAATCTGAAAAAGAGAATAATTTGTTTTTACCTCATTGGAAACACCAGAAGAATGATCTTGAACATAGTCCAGAGGCTTTTTAGGAGGCTGGGTGTAGATGCACCACATAAGCAGAAGTGTAGAGATGGAATATGGAGGAGAATCAATGGCAGCAAGGAATGAACATGTGGAAAAGGTGACAACAGTTAGAAACTGAGTGCTGACAGCATCAGATACACATAAAGAGTGCATGAATGGAGCAAAATGGGGGTGGCCCAGGAGGAAGGGTGCAATGTTCGTAAAATATTCTCAAGCACTGGGCAAAATTACTAGTGATTTGATTAGTAAATTTATAAGTTCATTTCATCAGATCAAAATGAGCACTCCTAGTCTCTAGCCACAGAGGAATGCGAGGTGTATTAAACGAACATTAAAGTAGCAGGTGGATAGCTGGTGAGTTTCCATGTGTGGCTAAAAATGATTACAGGAAAATGCTGATAATTTATGCTCAGAACAGAAATCGGTATGGTCCCTACAAACCACGTAATCAGTAATAACAATACGCATAAAATAAAGCTAGAGAATCTTTATTCCTCTAAAATAAAATGCATTTATGTGAATACTTGGATACAAATTAGGAAAAAAACGAGAGAAAACACTTTTCCTGTTAAGTATAGAAATTCTAGGAAAAATCTTTTGGTATATATTTATTTACAGTCACTTTTGATCCAGTTCAATAAGATAAGGAATCTAACCAAGTGTCCCTTGTATTTCAATGGACTAAAGGGATGACTATAACCACCCCCCACCCCGCCCTGCCCCGGAACCAA